TGTATGATCTTTCTAAAAATCATGGACACTACATTTAGAGTTTCCATATTGACATATAAAAAGAGATTAGTAATTCATTTTTAGATTCCTTGGTTCACTAGTTTGATAAGACATTATGTCGGGCATAAAATAACTATACAAATGTTTTCTACTTTTAAAGTCTTCAAACTGTTAGTGCATTGCAATCTTTTTTTTTTTTTTTTTTTTTTTTTTTATCTCTTAGGCCTAAATTTCAAATTTAAATTCAGGCTTTCAAAAGTGATGTTATGGTTAAATGGGTGTCAATTTACTGAATAGAGTTTTTATTGCATATTCAACATATTTTTAACAATAACTCTGTATTTTAAATTTAGAATAGTTTTCACCAATAAACATTAAAACAGAATATTTTTGAATGCAGTATTTTTATAACGTATGTAATGAGATCAGAAAAACAAGGATGGTACTGTTTAAGTACATGGATATATGAAAAATTTGAAAGAAAGTGTATAGAAAATGTGCTTTGCTGCCACTAACAGAACAAGTAATTTAACTCTTCATTTTTCATTGAATTCAGTAAGCGATATTTTTGCTTTCCGATAGTGCATTCAATGTAAATTATGTTTTTTTTACCAAATATGATAATGCTTCATATACAATATATAAAGACATTTAAATAAGAAGGGACTATTTTGAATGCAGACTTAAAAAGAAAGATTTCAAGTCAAAGCTTTATCATCAAAAGCAACTGTATTGAATTTTAATAGTTCAATAACATAATCACAACTCTCTTAAAGATGAAATTCCTTTATATATTTTATAATTTTCTCATAAGTATTTGATTTTTCAATTTTAGAAAAAGACATTTCTTTTCAATGCTAATAAAATAATATAGCAAATAAAAGTAAGCCGTAACTTCTTATGTTATCAATTGCTTTACTGCTTATTTTTGATGTACATTAATTCTTAAAAACTTAATTTCTAAATTTTTACTGAAAGGAAAGTCATTGCCTGGATATGCAATTCAGAATTTTCACAATAATGTTACAAGACATTTTATTACCTCTTGAATTAATTTATGACATCATCAAAACTGCATTTACATCACTGTACCTTTTCCTGTGTTGAAATTCAGACTAATATGACTTTTTCATAGCACGTTAAAAAATAATAAGAATGCTTTACTTCTGAACACATGTGGCTTACTAGCGGCTGAGTGAACCCTAGTACTTCAATTCAGATTCAAAACCCAGCAAATGAGCAAGTTGTATAGTTGTTTTCATGATTTGTCCTATGTCTCGGAGGGCCTCGAAGATAGGGCACAACCTCTGACGTAAAACGTCAAAAATGTACCAATCTGTGTTCAAATTACCTTCGATCCGAACCAAAGATATGCGTATCGTGTACCCAAAGGTTGCCCAAACCATTACATCAGAATACTGCACGCGGAACTGGGACTCGTCTGAAAAGATGACATTGTGCCACTCCTATACCCAGCTTTGTTGTTCGGCGCATCAGAGTCTCCTTTTCTCCCTATGCTGCATTGTCAACAGAAGGCGAAGTAATGGTCGTCATGCTGATAGTCCACGCTGCTGCAAACGTCGACTCATCATACGAGCGGATACCGGAAGTGCTGCAAACATGTCCATTTCCTGATTAATGGTCCATGATGTGGTTGTACGGTTTAGCAGGACTGACCTCACAATATGTCTGTCCTCTCAGGCATTATTCATGGGAGGGCGTTGAGAACCTGTATGCCGTTCAGTATGATCCTCAGCAGCCCATTGGTTCCATATTCATATGACTGGTTGGATGTCGATCAGTGTGATGGGCGGTATCACAGAATGATAATCCACACACTCGATAGGCAATAGTTCTGCCTCTATCGAATTCCAGCACTTGGTGGTAAGCATTTCTTTGTCTTATTCGAGGCTTAACACGATATTCTGAGTAAACCCCAACCTTACAAAGTGCTTTCTGAATGAGAAATCCACTATACAACTTTTTTTTTATGCAGTGCTTCAGATGTTGTTTCTCCCTTCTAAATCGGCTAAATGCGCTGAAATACTAATCATTTGCAAATCCAACCTCTTCTTCCTTTCATGGGATTTTGACGTTCGTCAGATGATTCCTTCCTGGTGTTATAGTGTAGAATGCATGATGATGCTTAGGTTCACCAGTGCTTGTACAAAGCGATAGATATCTGTGGAAATTTCTAGAGCTATTTCCATCCTCAGAATGGGAAGTTTTTACAATTAGCACTATTTTTTAAATGATCTGGTAGTTGAAACTCACGAGATAGGTCACAGCATTTCCAGAAGTGGATTTTAACTTAGAGCTATTTAAAGATACAGTAAATACAAGAATTCAGGCAAAGCTGTGAACTTATGACAGATATAAAAAGACTTGGAATGAGCATAACCAGCTACAACTGGAAAAAATCAGTTAATACACTAGGAATAGAGCACTGCCTTAAATAATGTCAGAATTCAGTGTGAAGGCTTTAGTAAATATCAGCATGAGGACTGGGGAATGATCCCTCCGACACGTAGGTTTTAGGAACCGACACGCAACGAGAGCTCTCCTGATGATCGCATGACACAGAAGCTCACCTGAGCAAAGCAGTCTGGACATTTGATGACTGGAAACGAACAACCTGGTTTGCTAGTTGTATTCCCAACTGTTTTCGGCAGATGGAAAGATGTGCATGTCCTGACAGTGGGATTTCACGTAGTATCTCACATATAAGCAGCAGATTTTACAGGCTGTTGTAGCTCCACAATGGTATAACATAATACTCATGTGACCTTGTAGATACATTAGATTTTTTTTTTTTTTTTGGAAAGCCGGAGAAATAAAAAATTAGCAACGCCTTCGTCGGGAATCGAACCACGGACCTCTGAAATACCGGCTCAGTGTGCTCACCACTACACCACGAAGGCACGCTAGAAAGGCGGGAGAAATAGCTTGCATACTCCCCCTTTTAATGGGCAACTGGGGTTTTTAGGGGACCCAATCGCCGAATCCTGGGTGTGGAAAGTCATCATCCGCAACCCTTTTAGTTCGGGTGCCACTGTAAAGATATTAGGATTTTTTGAGGAAGCAAAAGAGATGAAAAATGAGCAATCGCCTTCGTCGGGAATCGAACCACGGAACTCTGGAATACTGGCTGTTCCTGCAGAAGATAGTTCGAACTTATTTAATGAAAATTAACTTCAGTAAGTGGACTGTAATATTAACAATAACAAATTTATTTTAACAAAAACAACATTATTGAATACTAGCACACGCATGTGCTTATAGTTACCTATGCAACTTACCTAAAGGCGAGCAACCATATGCTCTTGCATCAAGTCAAAAATCATACAAACTAATAAGGCAAAAACGAAATAACTTTAGTGTTACACTAAAGCCAAACTCTGCTTGGCGTAAAATAATGCTGCCAAGCAATACTCTTTCAGACACCGAACACTGGCCCAGCGTGCAGAACCACTACACCACGAGGGCACGCAGGCCACGCACAATTTCCAACGTGGTTCTCGGCAGCATTATAAAGAAACGAACTTTCCTTCGGTTTAAAATTGAAATACTACATGTTTAGGAAAATGTAGAAAATTAATATTTTTTAGTCAAATAAAAACTTATTCGATGTGCATATCCTAATCATCTGGGCGACTCTATGTACCAAGTTTTGTAGCTTTGGCTCTACCGACCTTTGAGTTATACAATGCATACACGCAGACAAACTGTTTTATAAGTAAAGAGATAGGTATGTTTAGCATACTGAAGAAGCTGCTGATTATCGCATGCCAAAAAAAGTTACTTCCTAAACCGTCCATAGAAGATATAGGTTTCCATTTACAAAAAAATAATTTAAATGATGCAAATATTCATGTTTTGGCATTTTTAAATTAAAAAATGAGTTTTGAAAAATTACGAAATCCAATTTTTTGTATAGTTCTCTGACTTCTGTAGTTATATGCTACTCAAAATAAAAAGTTGGTCAGTTTTTATTGTACAAATTCTGAGTTACTCAGTTCCGAAATTTGGGATTTTTGCTATTTTTTTCAGCGTACGTTAAGAGACCAGTTAAAATACAAATTGGAATAATTTAAAGCTTTTTTTCCTCCTTTAAATGGCATTCAGTGATATTCTCTTGTTATTTATAAGTGTGGAATTCCTTAATTTATAATTGCTATATATAAAATTATAAATTAAGGAATGGGCTGAAAACTGAAATGAAGTTTTACTCAAGTAATTTTTAAGTTTTCATAAAATTAAAAATACTTAATATTTTCATGCAGTTTTATTGCTTTAAAATCATAAAATTCATTAGACTAGAAACATTTTTCATTTTTAATTTACATATAACGTGACGAGTTGACGTTCGCTTTACAAAATAATGATTTTTAAGCCAGATGCTTGACATGAGATAAAAATTGAAAGTTTTCATTGAATTTTCAAGGAACTATTTGTAGAAGTGACCTAAAACTCAATAATTGAATTCAGTATCTATATACTTGTGTCAATTAAAAGAATAATGTTATTCAAAAGTACATGGCTTATATGTTCCTTTTATTATTGCTTATCAGTTAATAAATGTATATAGTATTTATTTAAACTTGTTATTCCTGATATTTTACACATGGAGTCAAATCATTTTGACCTGGATAGTAGTCTTATCATTAATGCATTCACATTTCAATACTGTTTTGTATAATACTTGTTTCTGCTTAATAATTCGATGAAGCGGGCCACTATTTTATAGAACATGAATTCTATCACCCATAATTAAAAATAAACGCCGTATACGTTATTTGATGAATATGGTTAATATTCAGAGTCTCAATTCGAGATAAAAATCATGTTTAGTGTATAAGTTGATATAGCTCTGTTCCAAGTTCTAAGCAGTATGTAGTTTGACTGGTACCAATATTTTCCTTCTATTGAGAAGTGGAAATGTTTCTTTAGACATACAACAAATAAATTCTTAGTAAAATGAATTTGGAAAAAAGCTTTTTTATTGTTAAAAATAAAATATAAAAATTAGTCCTAAAAATCATTTGAACATTGAATAAAAATGTATAATGCTGGAAGCTGTAAATCATGCATTACATATATAGTAATAAAATAAAGTTTTAAAAGGAAGCTGAATTTAAATTCATAGAACCCGTGAATAATAATTACAGGGATCTCACATCTCCATTTGGAATAACTTGCCCATGATGTGGATCAAAGTCAGCATTTCGAAACTGGATCATGTTGAAAGGTTCATCTAAATCTGGCACATGATCTTCAAAATCTGAGGCAACGTAAGCGTTTCGAAAAAAGTTATAATGTAATCTTTTCACACTCAAATAACGTTTTTCACTTGCTAGTAAGAAACTGGCTAATACTAAGGAAGTTGAACTGGTTATAACAGCTGGAATGTCCGACATGAAAAATCCTTCAAAAGAATAATTCTGTGTGATAAGTTGCATTGAAGTCAAATGTTTTTCTAATGCTTCACTCAGGATCTTGACAAGGATATTGTGCCAGTTATATTCAAGACATATCCAGCATAGTATCAACTTTAAACAGTTCTTTTTTAAACTTTGAAGGATCTAAAAAAAATAATACATTTACATTATATGACATTTTTCAGTAATCTTTTGTAGTAGTTTAAAGTTATGCTTACTATGCATGTCTAGAAATATAATCGACTTTTGAAGCATACAGGAGTTTAGAGCCTTAATATCCTCTGCAGTTTAAATGTGCATATCAACTTTTACTCCTCGAATACTTATTTTATCCCCAAATATATTCAAGGCCCACCAGCGGCCGAGCGGTAAAAGCTGCTGAACACTGGTAGTTCAGCCCGGGGTTGGAGCCCGGCGAACAAACTCGCTGCATGGGCGTTTTCGTCGTTTCCCCCTGTGTAACGTGGATACGTGCCAGTTTCCCTTAAAGACTTCCATGGAGCATCCTTTGCTTTTCGTGCAGTGCTTAAGGGCGGAGCACGTAATAAGTATATTATAGAAATGCATTTAAGAACCTGCTACTGAATAGAAGCGTTTTAGTGATAAGATAAGGGGTATGTAATACACAGCATGTTTATGATTTTATGATAGCATAAGCGGTGCATATTATATATACTCTATGTATTATCTCCTGTATTCCTGCAATAAAGTAAGCCAGTTTAGTAATAAGTTTCTAAGAGAAAATACATCTATATAGCACAGCTCTGTATTCACTGACATCAAATCAAAATTTTATGTTTACGAGATTAATACTTTACAGTAATACAGTCTGATGAATCACACAGAACTGAAGATGTTCCACATTTAACTAACACTACACATTAGAAATGAAATTTAAAGAATCTGCCTTGCATAAGTAGTGCCAGCTTAACTACGGGCACTTCATACGTTTTTCAAGATTTCAGAATTATCAAAGTTTCAAATACTATAAGCATAATGAAAAATATACAGGAATTTTGCAGAATCATATTTGATCGCAATGCTTAATATACTGCGTTGAGAAATTTTCTAGGTCGCCGAGGATATAATGATTTAAGCGATAGTCAATATCTGACCTCATCCGTGTACTAGAAACAAGTGATGCCTTCAAAATTCTTTTATTGACAGAAGATGTACTGCAGTTACTTTTATGGTTTACGTCTGTATTCATTTCACTTACTGTCAATGAAGTCGTGAACTCCACCAGTAGTTATATACTAGCATGTACATAAATTTAAACTTTTTATAACAAATGTGTTTAATTTGTGGCAATAAATAATAGATTAATAGTTACACAATTTTATGCAATTTATTTATTAATTTTCTGTGACTTAGGTTTCCTATATACCCCACATTCTGGCGTATAACGGGCACCTATAATTTCAAACTACATTTAAAAAAATTTTTAGTGTATTTGCCCGATAACGCGCACATTTTTCTTTACGAAGAAACTTGGAATGTACATGGACGATGCTCTTATCTTTTGACGTCATTCATTCGAAGATTTTCCCCAGGTTTGTGAACAATGGTATACGAAAGTGACAAGCCGTAAGAGGAACGATATGTGTGTGGAAGGGGGGTTGCTTGAAATATTAAATAATTCTGCAAAAAGGGTGGATTGTATTCAATGCAAACATGCAAAAGAATGTTATTCTAGAATTTCGAGAAAAGGGAGACATAATTTGGGTAAGAATACACTTCCGACCCTAATGAATTCACAAAATTAGGAGTCTGAGGTTTCCTCTTTATGTAATCATTTGAAGCTGTGATGTTGAAGTGAACATCGAAGGCATTACCTGCATTTGCTTTAGTTGAAATACAGTAGACATAGTGTTGCTTTTAGTAGTAAATATGGCTTTTGTCGAATGAAACAAGCACAGTGCTGATCTCAAATGCAAAGTCATTCAATTTGCGAAAGAAAATGGAAATCGTGCTTCAGCAAGGTGTTTGGTTTTGGCGAAAGATCCATACGTGAGTTGAAGAAAAATGAAATCTCGATAATTAATATGCCAAAGAATAAATGTGCTTTACATAATGAAGTAACGAAATGGCCTATCCTATGAGCATGTGTTACTAACTGGTCGTAGAAGATCGCCAGAATGGATTGTAACTAGAAGCAGCGCACGTTTATTTGTCTTTCAATGAGAAAAAAAATGCAAATGAAAACGAAATTGATTTATGAAACGGAATAATTTAGTATTAAGAGAAAAAAATTCTCAAAAAGCTTCCGAAAGATTTGAACAAATTGATAAATTTCTAGAGCTATGTAATTGACCTACGAAGACCAAAAAATTTGCTGTCCCAAATTGGAAATATGAACGAAACTGCAGTAGTAAGATATGATAAGAAATAAAACAGTTGATGCAAAAGGAACAAAAAAGGATCACATAAAAACCAATGGTTACTTTTAAAAAGAAAGTTGGTTAGAATTTTTTGGCTCAGAACCCATGGGGATTATGTTGCGCCAAACAAAAGGTTGCATATTTCCAAACCTTAAAAATAAGAACACACGCACCATTCCGTGCATACTCACCAATGGAAATTTAAGACAACGTTACATATAGGTATAAAATAGCAAGTGTATAATAAAACCTGCAATAAAATCAAACACATAAAATTCTTTTAGTAAGAACTAGGATATGAAATACACATAGAAAACTCTATAGCCAAAGCAATAAATTTTGATATGAATAAAACTAGATCCCGGATAGATCTTCTGAAACCCAAACTGAATTCAGGGCATTCAAATAATGTGGCAAAACTGTGTAGTTCTTTAAAATGTTAAAATGTGGTTCTCCAACTAAATCTTTTGCTGAAATCTCACAAGTATTAAAATAAAAATTTCGAAAGGGGATTAAAATTTGGACAATCATTTAAAATGTGTTTAATGGTTAAAATAGTACTACATTCAGAACATACTGGTTCAGTTTTGCCTATCAATAAGTATCTGTGTATTATCTTGTGTGACCGATTCTTAGTCGCGTCAAAAGAACCTGCTCTTTCTGTTTAGACTATACTTCCAATGTTCTATTTTAGGTTTTATATTTCGTAATGTATTGGATAACTGCGCATACCAAAACTTCTGCCATTTCATCAGAATTTTCCTCCCAATCAGAGTGTTAATATCTGAATAGGGGACGACTCGGCTGGATGTCCGATAGGTGTATTTTGCAGCGATATCCGCCAGTTCGTTTGCTTTTATACCAGGATGACTTGGTATCTAGCAATAAAGGATCCGGTAACCTTTGGCCTTGAAGCGTGAGCTTCAGCATTTCTAATATTAACGGATTTGTGTTATTCATATACGATTCGATAGCTTTTAGCGCACTGAGTCTGTGTAAATAAGGAAATTTTTCCTATGTTGTTTACCTATGGAAAAGAGAGCTAATAGCAAAGCAACGATCTCTGCAGTAGAGGTAATACAAGTGAGATGAACTTTTCTTCTCTCAATACTATTCTCGCACACGAAGACAGAGCCTACGTACTGTGTATACTGCAACATAGTCATTGAAAGGCTGTCTCTACTCACAGAAAAATCTGCTTGTGCCAGAGCTTAAATTACTCCGGTGCTTCTTAGTTTTGGGGATAAATAATAATTCTAGCAAATCATAATTCTCTGGCAGTTCTTTAATGTAACTGAACTATAATTTCAGGGGAAATTTGATTTCGAAAATTTTATTTAAGAATAAAATTATATTAAAAATCGATTCTAATTTCTGAATGCATGCTTCTCTTTCCTTGGGAAACAATCCTTCTGATTAGATGTCGAGATTCTTAAGGAAAGGGAAGCCCTCACCCACATTTTAAAGGCTTATTCTCCAGAAAGAACAATGAATTTATGACAGCGAGTAAAATTTTCGTCCAACGCTAATATCTTTCCGCAGAAAAGAGCACCTGCAGACTTTTTGGAACTATGCAATCAAAAACTGAGAAAATCGTAACTTATTAACTTCTTTTTCAGCTAACTCTCGGATTCGACGAAAATTTGTTCCCTTGTCATATTCTGCTTGACAGCTAGAATTAAATGTTGGACTCTGTGTTTTTTTTTTTTTTTTTTTTTTTTTTTTCCCACACCTATAGGTCATCCGTTAAAATTTTCTGCATATTCTTTTACTGTTTATAGCATTCTCTATATTTTCATTAGTGATGCTTTAGCCATTTTAACATTTTTTAATTGATGAGCTGGAAAAAGAATGGCCTTTATTTCTCTTCATCCTTTGAAGTAGTAGGTTAGAGCTTAAATTAAACCGGAGACAGGACTATTTCTTACTTTTTGAGTGAAATTTCTAATTCTAGCTGAAACCCTCCAAATAAGTCAGGGTCCAGTACTTGATTTCAATATTTAATTATTTACTCTTTGTTTAATAACTTATTATATTTTTATTTTTATAACATATATTTATATTATATTAATACTTACATTTTATTACAACTGAATATTAATTTTTTAATTATTCCAATCATTGATTATTTAATTTTGATATTTATTTACTTATTTTTGTTCTTTCCTGACAGTCTTCCATATTCAAGCTCTGGCTTGTACCCGGTATCACTTGTGTTATCTTTAGCTAAGTTGGAAAATATGTTGAGCAGCTCAATGTGAGCATCTTTCCAATTACACTTAAAAAATTTCCAAACACTTTACTGCTTGAACTTTCACCTCTTCGAAGTAATGTTCTTGCATTCACTGTCGAGTGCGTAATCCAAAATGAGAATACAAGAAGTATGCACTAGTTAGAGCAAATGAAAGTGGCTATCAAGTACTAAGTGGTCGGCTGGATGATCATTCAGGATATGAAACAGTTTTGAAGTAATATTGAAGAGACAATTGCTTGCGTCTCAGCTGGAGGAGAGCTCGAAACATTATACATACAAACTCTGCACAGATGTTATGAAAGCTCTTGAACAAATTCTCAGACGCTCCCCAGGAGGTATTTGATAATACTTTCAAAATGTTTAATACTTTTAACCCTTTTTTCTTTAGGTATGAGACATAGGGAAAAAAGGTCAGTTTCTTATCAAATATTACTCCTAGAAATTTAACTTCTGCCACTTCTGGAACTGGTGAGCCTCCTAGGAAGATTTCTGGATCCAGATGAAGATTT